TAGATCACGTGACCACAACAAGCCTCCATCAGGTGGACAAGGCGCGCCATAACGTGACGTCATCCCGCTACCTGTAGCCCCGCCCATTTCATTAGAGCCCTTAGATACCTGAAGCAGAGCAACCTGCAGAGAAGCTGACTGATTCTCTTAATGCATCCCAACAGTTCTCCTGACGACGTTCCTCCACATGAAACCAGATCCTCGCTGGTCTTCACAGAACTTAAGAGAACATCTTCACCTGCCACCTCACTGACCACAAAGTTGAACTTTGTCAGCTGCTGACAAACACCTGGAGCTTTCAGCTCATGATGAACCAAAACAATCCTGACTGTACACCTGACCATGACATCACCACGCTCTCAGTAGCTCCACCAGCCAGGTGTGATTCATCCTATCCACCAGCTACCTGTTCCCAGCTCCACCTCTACAGCCATTTCTGACCATGGGTTACCAACTCACCTGTCTTTCCCCACAGCCTCTTCCCTTCAGGTCTCTCCCTCTCTATCAGCACTGGGTTGCCAGTTCCTCCCTTCCATCCCCCATCCCAGCAACCTTTATCTCTCTCTCTTCACCAGGTTGCCAGTTCCTCCTTTTCATTTGTTTGACTCTGACTTCTGGCTCTGTCTGGCACAGAGATGCCAGTTTGACTTATCTCTATCCTTAAATCCTTGAATCCTTGAATCTGTCCCCTGCTTAAACAGTTTTGGCTCATACTGGCACCAGGATACCAGCTTGAATCGTCTCTATCCTCCCACTCAACAGTTCGGTTTTCATTCTGGCACCGAGATGCCAGTTTCACTTGCCTCATTATGCTCATCAACAGGTACACTTCTGGCACTGGGACACCAGTTTCTTCCACCATCATACCCTCCTTCAACCTTCTGCTTAAATTTCCAGCAATAGATGCCAGTGGCACATGTCTCCATGGCCACGCCAACAAGTCACCCAGGAGGCATCAGTTCGCTCCAGCGTTCTACGTTCCAGCCTCTAGCTGGCATCTAGAACCAACTTTGGCCTTCCTTTGTTTCTGTGACGTACAGAGTTCATTGCAATGTTAACAACAAGTCAAACTTGATCCCCACTGACATCCTACGACACGTCTTCCACATCCTGTATCTGACCTTCATGCATCTCTGAAGACTGCCTGGTCTGTTCACTCAAAGGAAGTCAAACCAGTCAAGCTGGTAATCCAGCACCCATCATGTACCCCAAACTAGATTCACAGCCAAGTCCTTACAAACCCGTAGTACACCGTATACAAACCAGGAAATCTCAGGATGCTTCGCTTTCCAACCCTCAGTTTGTTACAGTGACCGTTCAAGCCTCAACATCATCCCGACTCCTCTTCCACTTCAAACAAGTCCTGACGACATCCAGAATCCCAGCATGTTCTCTGGCTTCCAGCTGACGGGTTCTGGACCTCCTAATCAAGGCCTCAAGTCTCTCTGCTTCTCATCTGCTTCAACAATCAGGGCCCACGTTACGTCCACTCTTTGTTTCATTCTTACGGGATGCTTTTTGGGGGTCTGCCGGCCCGGGAGCTGCTGCTGATCTCTGACTGAACATTTCTCCTACAACCGCATCAACTCATCGAAGTCATCACCAGCACAAACAGTCATTCACATCCAACAAACAATCAAGCTTCAGGTTGATGGCGTGGTCCTAGCTAGTGAACCAATCAATACTCATCCCAGGAGGACGTGTCTTCAGCTGCATGCTGCTAATGCATGTGGACCACGCTCACCGACAATAAATAGGACTACAGTGGCCTGACTTTACCAGAGATCCTGACCAAAACAAGACCTCAAACTAAGCTTTATGCCTATTACTGTCCTTGCAATCAAAAACAAATTGAAATATGCAGGGAAAATGCTTTGTCACTTATTTCAAAGCAGGATGTGACTCTCTTCGTCCATGAACAGCTGACATTTTGGAAATAATCAGTTTTCATGAAACATTTAGTTCTGAGTCTAGAGAGCTAATTATGATGCTATTTCAAGATGTAAACACCAAGCAGTGATTAAATACGTCTAGACAGAAAACACACAACCTCTGACAGCTACACACAGATTACAGCGTCTGTTCTTTGTATTTCTCATTTATTTTCATCCTGTTTTATGTTCGTTTATACCATTAAAGTCGAAGCTTTTCTGCAGCAGGTGAACATTTTTGCAACAGCCTCATGTGTCCATAAGACTCTGAAAGTTTCGTCTCCACTTCTCCACAGAACAAAAAAAAACTTTAACAGTGAAACACACTCAGTTCTTGTGTTTTGATGTGTTCTCCTCAGACAGCGTGCAAGTCAGCGGTGGCGTTCTTCCAGTTCAGCATCCTGGCCAATTACTTCTGGCTGCTGGTGGAGGGCATGTACCTGCAGACCCTGCTGGCCCTCACCTTCGTCTCACAGAGAAAGTACTTCTGGTGGTACATCCTGATCGGATGGGGTGAGTGAGGCCGACCGAAGAGGTTGTCTGAGGATGGCAGACTGGCTGACGTTAGCTTGTGTACATACAGATGATATCACGAATGCAAACACCCAAAAGATATAGCGGCTCCACAAAGCCACGCTGAGTCCACCGGGGTTTTCAGTGACGCCGTCTTCAGGGTGAGATTGCAGCAAATGGTCGGCTCTCCATGCAGCAAAGCATACATCAGAGGACTGGAGACGGGTCGTAAAACAAAGGAGCTCAGATGAAAGGAGAAATGTTAAAATTACATTCTCTGTCTTTTATCTTTCAGCCTCTCGTCTCTGAGCATCTCTGAAGTTCCACAATATGTGCAAAGCTCGTGCTGGACAGACAACAGAGAGAGATTTACAACCTCAGACGCTGCTGTCTGAGCGTTTAGTTCACCCAAGTGACAGCAGCTCATCTTAATAAATGACAAGATGATGCCCAACAATTAGCGGCGATGCTGCTTTATAACACACTGAATCAGACTAAGAGCTGTTCTCTGTTTACTTCTTGCTGCTACACAATATATCCACATTTGGGTTTGAAATCTATTTCCAAACAAAAATCCAGTTCCCTGAAACAGCTTGTTTACACAGCAACTTCTGCTTCCTCGCCTCTCTTTGTTTTCTCCCTCCTCTTTTGTTTCTCTGAGCTTTCTATGGATGCTTTCGGTGCTTTGTTTTTCCTATTCCCATCCCGCTGTCCTCTTTGTTTCTGGAGCGGTACATATCTTTCTGTTTAAACCTGCACTCCAAGGTGTTTTTAACGAAGTTCCACAGCTCCCGTCTGTGTCATCTGGGTCCTGTTACCAAACATGTTACAGCAAAATCCAGCCACACTGGACCTTCACTGAGAACCAGAAGTGTTGTTGTGGAGACGTTCCTGAAAGTTAGAGGAAGGAGAGTTGGCAAAACAAAAACTTTTCTAATCTACATATTGTAAATAATAAGTCGATGCTCAGTTGTTTAAACATTCACATCCTGTCCAACCTGCAGGATGCGTCTAAGTGTGGCTGCAGGACTGAAGCTCAAAGTCCCTCTCCGTCCACCTGAGCACAGGAGCTCCCATTACGAACAGCCGGCTCCTCGGCATTCATCCGCACACAATGCGTCCAAATCAGGAGGTTTTACAGCCTGATGGAAAGTGCAGCGGCGTTAGACAAACACCGAGTCGCTCTGAGGAGGACAGACGGCAGGAGCTCATGACGGCCATGTGACAGAAGGGAGGGAGTGCTCTACTTCTGTCCATCAATCAAGGCAGAGAGATGGATTTAACCAAGGCTGGAGAACTGGAGGTTCCTCAAGTGAGAGCCGTCCTTTGTCCCACTGAACAGTAGGTTTACTACAGCACTGGTCAGACTGGGATATCGGAAGTTTTTGCACTATGAAAATAATTAATCTTGACTAAAATAATGAATAAAACAAATGTTGAAAAACAGAAAAATGAAAATAAATACATAAATAAACCCTTTTATTGATTTTCAAACTGTTAATAATCAGGTAGCTCCTGTAGCGACGACTGACCACCGCCTCGACCTTTCCAACAGATGTAATTATGAGATAGTAATGCGGGAAACCAAATGAGTTTTTCCTTTCGTGAAGACAACACATTAGAGGATGGACTCTTATTGATTAAGTGTGTTTAAACCACACAGCTGAACACAGGGTTGGAGCTGGAGCGCAGCTACAGGTAAACAACCAGAACCCGCTCCAGAATGCTGATTAGGTCGGTGAGTAGCAGGTAAATCTCTCTATTTCCCAGCGTATTAGGGTTTTAAAACAAGTGTCTGTGGCGACATTCCCACGTCGGCGATGTGTTTTACATCAGTCAACGATGACTGGATGGTCAGAGTTGAAGAGGCAGCAGCTC